ATGTGTCCTGACAACAAATCAGGATTTCAAGTTGAGTCTGCAGCAGAAGTAAGAGGCAGCCGCTCTGAAGCTCCTCTGTGAGAGGACTCAGAGGTAAAACTCAACTTTAAGCACCTTTACTTTGAAAAGTGTCGTACTGCTGCGCTGCCGCTAACACAAAGTGGCCCAGCCTCACTCCTGCTACGCTTCCTGCTGCATGTGTGTGAGGTTGAAACTTTAATCATATTTCAGATCCGCCCACACAGGCACTTCCCCGTCGCACCCAGAGACTTCACGTCTGAATTCTGCCTCCGTGTGAGCGTGCACGTGTGTTTCTGAAAGATCCGTGTGCTCGTTCCAGATCAGTTTGTGTGCTGTGAATATAAAATACCCTTTAAACTACACGTGTGTCTATGATGTATGTGTAAAGCACTTTGATCTGCATGCATCTTGTATAAAAGTCGCTGTACAAATAAAGTTTATCATCATCGTTGTAAAATGTCCATAAAGAATGGAGTGACGTGTGCGTGTGTGTGTGTGTGTGTCACTCTACCTCGTACATAACGTGAGGTCATCACGGCTGCAGCCAGCACAGCAGAGCCCTCTGGCAACAAGCGTGTGTTTGTGAAGAGACAGATAAAGGGAAACAGAGATTGTGTGTCTGAATGTGTTTGTGTAATTATGTGATATCGTCCTGAGTGTCTGTCAGAGCACGCTCATGCTGTAGATGTGTGTCGTGTTTGTGGGCATTGTTGTGGGGACGGCCTCCTCTACGTCTCGTAGGTTTCCGATGACCTTGAGGCGAAATAACTTGATGCATATGTATGTCAGCGTTTCCCACTGTGTGTCTGTGTTAATAGACTCAGTCGTAGCTTCGGAGGATTCTGGGAAAAAAAAATATGCGTGCATCTAAAGTCAAAGCACAAACCTTAAAGGGATATTCTAAAATGTTTTGGGGAAATTCTACTTTGCACAACAAAGACAGAGTCAGTTTTATTCCAGAATGAGGTTACAGAGTTTCCACGTCGTGTTTAGGCCTCGAGAAGTCACATGTTACTCATACTAATACACATCATGTATTAGGTCTTAGGTAGATGTGTGCGCAGCGTTTGTGTCGTGACTGTGCGTGTTTCATTAAAGGTTTAGCAAAAGCTTGAGGGAATTCTGGAAGGTGTGTCAGAATAATGTCTGTTAGTGTTTCTTTCATGGAGCCATGCACACACACACACACACATACACACACACACAGACACACACAGGTTTAGCAGGTGTCTCTTCAGCCTCGACAGGAATTTTGAATTTTATCGTCTCATATTTAGTCCGATTCTCTTCGATGTCATCCATCTTCTACTCTGTCAAACCTGCGCCGCACGTGCTAAGGTCGTTAGCACGTCTGCATGAAAAGACGCTTGCGCTGTAAACATAATGCACGCGCCTCGGCTGCGGGAGGAAAATCTGGCCTGACGCCTCGTCTGTAACTCAATCTTTTCAGTTAGCCGACAGCGCCAGCAGTCATTAGCCTAATCACATTCAAATGATTCACCAGGAGAGGTTAATTTATCAGAGCCGCAGCGGAAAATAGGTCTTTAAAAGGAAAAATGTGTCAGAGTGGAGCTGATGTGTGTAAAAGAATATTAGTGTGCGAGCAGATCGTGTGTTATGCTCACTAATGGCTGTTGTGACAAATACGTTTGCAGCGTTCTGAAACATCGAACATCGAAAACTCAGCAGAGGTTTGTGGATGTAGAGGACGAGAGCATCAGAGAGAGAGAAGTGGTCAAGTTGCCTTAAACGTGCGTGTGGGGGACTGGTATTTGTAGTATTTTGTGTATTTTGCACATGCAGGTGAACTAAACCCCTTTTGTGTGTCATTCTCTGCTGCTAGAGGCTTGTGCATGTTAGTGTGTGTCTGTGTGTGTGTCTGTGTGTGTGTCTGTGTGTGTGTCTGTGCCGTCCCCTCAGCACTAAGGCAGTCAGCCAAAGCGGTTTCAAGCACAACTGAATCGTGAACTGATGAATTTTTAAAGTTATTACACCTCTGTGGAGATAAACTCAGAGACACAACAACAACGGCCTCTTTTTCCACTGTCACTGCCAGGAAGTGATTTCTGAGCATTACCGGCGGGGACGCGCTGCGTATTTAAAGGTCGTGATGTCGAGGCGGTTGGGAGACAAGAGCAACGTAGGAATATCGATCAAAGTGTAATTTATTGTTGGTAAATGTCTCGAAGATGATTGGACATGTCCAAGTCATTGTTCATCTGTCATGATTTACATTTCATCAATATTGAAACACGTGTATGAGCCGGACCTCGATGCCCTGATCACTAACACGACTCTGGCTCCATATTACAACTGACTGGATAGTGGAAGGACGCTGAGACACGCGGGACATCTTTATGTACAGCCCAGAAATTCAACCCTTGAATAACGTCTCACATCCATTTCAGAAATGGATCACTGTATGAAACTGAGGGATTGATAAATCAGAGTCCACCGGATCTGGAACATATTCACTGCACATATCACCTGAATGTTTGCAATTACAATTAAATATGCTGCTGAATATGCCGCAGGGCGACTCTGCATTAACAGCACTAGTGAAGCTCGGTGACAGTCTCCTGAAATGTCAGCAGCTTGAGAACACACAAACTAACTGCTGCAGTGATGTCGCCTCAGTATGATTTAGACTTGAAGGCTGTGTTGTGGAACAGAGTGTGAAAGTAATTTAAAGAAGATTCAAAAGCAGGAAAAGTAATTTGCAGGACATTAAAATCCTTTCAAATGTCCTGTTGATGATAGTAAGCCGGTTTATAACGTTGCTTCAGGTGCTGAGAAGCATTAAAAAAAAAAATGCTTTACTCAGGAAGTTTCACGGAGTCGCTGGCGTTTAAGCTGTGGTGTAATTGTCCCTCGTTATTATGCAACTTAATGACACTTCTGGAGTCGGGTTTGTCAGGAGTTGAGAACGAGCGTATGAATTGTTAACTTAGCCCCCCCCCACCCCGCCCCACCCCCCCTCCGTGATTGAGCAGAGGTTGTAAAGTAGGACACATCCTCTCCCCTCAGAGCCACAACAAGAACAACAGCGTCAGCCCCGCTGTCACAGCTGCTGTCAAACTGAGTCAAAGAGACTGGGTGAGCGAAATACTTAATTTCATGTTTAAATCATCGATGAGGCCTCAGAATACGGAATTGCAAAGAAAAAAATGTGACTCAATGAAAACGTACTGCAAAAAGATTCATGATTTTAAATTGTTCTTTACCCAAACTCTGTTTTCGACCAGTGACTCAACGATGTAAAATGTCCCGCCCACACGGACCGCCACCTTGCGCCAGTAATGTCAGTTAGAACCGGAGGCTGATGATTTGATAGGCACTCGTTTGATTTTCTTAGTTTGTTCCACATGACCCATCAAATAACATGGAGGGGATGTGGTTGTATGACCTACTACTACAGCCAGCCAGGAAGTTTTGATTTCACCTCATCACGACCTGCCATGTTGTCAAATTCAGTGTCTCCCACCTAAACACCAAAACGCTGTTTTACTTCATGTCATCGGTCGGTCGGTCGGTCAATTAGTTAATTGCTTACTTCGGTTTTTGATTGGTTGCTTCGGTTGAGTTGTTGGTCCATGGAATGATTGATTCCTTGGTTGGTTCGGGATCAAACTGACGACTTCCTCCTGACTCCAGCTTGCAGCAGATATAGAAACCTGAACAGAGCAGAATTTCTATCTTATCAAGTAATAAAATCCCAACATGTCTCAGCTGAAAATGTCTCTGCCAGAGTCCATAAAACCAGACATCTGTCGCCCCCCCCCCCGTGTCATATAACAAAGTCGTTTCACTGTTCAACAAGAGAGGGACTAACTCCATCAACACTCTACAAACGTCCTTACTACAGAGCAGCATTACGCTGACTGGCTGTGTCGGCACTGTACCTGGAAAATCTCCCTTACGTGTAATCGACTTACAAGGGTGTAAATACAACGTGGGTGCAATTGCACTCGTGATACCGCTAAGTAGATTATGTACGAGGGCGGTTTTCATTTTAGTACAAATTTCTTACTTGTCAGGAGGAGAACAGCCGTGAAACCGCCTTTGCATTTTGCAGCTTTTTAACGCAGAGAGACCTGTAGTGTCTGTTCCGCACCGAGACAGGGAATTCTGGGATATCATGGAGGTTTAAGGACAAATAGTCAATAAGAAAACAAGAGTATGAATTTGTCAGACTTGACGGAGATGAAATGCTTTCAGTGATGAGTGAGTGTTGGCAGATGCACATTTTTGTCTGGTTGTTTCTGTGCTTTGGTACGAGAGAGAGATAGAGGAAAAAAAAAAAAAGACCTGACATTTCTAACATCGTGCATTTCTGGGTTGAGAAATTCTTTTGTCTCTCAAACTGAAAACTGAGAACTTTTCAACTTTTAGAAGGTTACAAAAAGTTGGGATGTGTCACCGTGAAGTTTGTTTAAGTTGTTTTTAGCAGACGGTCACGGTGGTGCAGTCTGAAGCACAGCAGGAAGGTTCCTAGTTTCAAACTAGTTTTATCCGTATGTGTGAATGATGTTTGTCTAAATTCACGAATGTCCAGGTTGTACCTCGTCTTCTGTCCAATTTCAGCGTGGCCTGGCCTCGTCCTCCCTGCTCGTCCCTAAAGGAAAAGCAGGATAGATAACAGAAAGGATGTATTTTTGAGAAAAAACAATCATATTATGTCGAGATAAAGTTCTATCATCTCGACCTCTGCCTCTTTAAAGTTCTCACCCAAACGCCTGCTGCTAATCTGTAACGAGCTGCCATCGCTTTCACCTCATGCTCAGATACACAGCATCGACCTTGAACTCATATTTATAACGTCAGTAACTCTTCCCCCTTTCCTCTGGCTCTTGATGTGCAGCATCATAGAACACCGTTCGCTTCTGTTTTGTCGCCGTGAAAAATAAAATACATTTATCTTAAAACCAAAAAGGGGAAGATTTACTCTGAAGGTTTATGATGCACTCTGTTCTCTCTAGATGACGGACCATATGGAAAAACAAAGGATATATCCGGACAAGAACAAACCATGGCCTCGAGAAGACACAGCATACCAGGTATGTATACCTCATCTATCTATCTATCTATCTATCTATCTATCTATCTATCTATCTATCTATCTATCTATCTATCTATCTATCCATCKATCTATCTATCTGTATATCTATCTATCTATTGATCTATGGAAACCACTGTCAACAGATTCTCGTCTCCTCTTTGTCAAACACAGAAGCATAAATCTGACTCAAATTGAGCTAAAAGCCTTTTTACTCTGTCGTCACTGGGAACAGATGCTGAGTTTATGAATGAAACAGAAGTCTGGATTACACACTCAAACTATCACACACGCCGTATGTCGCTACGATAAAGCTGAGAACGAGCTGTCAATCATGTTCATGCTGAAGAGGCTTTTTTTTCCCCGTGTGGATTGAGATTGGATTCTTTTATGAAGCTGCTTTTCTGGTTTATTACTCAAAAAATCTTACAAACGCAGACAATAGCTGTCACTGCGATGTTTGTATGTTTTGTGGTTCTTATTTAAGTTTTCTGGATTTTTCACCTGTCTCTCTGTCGCCTCCTTTATTTTTTTTTTATCTGTCTCACACATCCACATCACTGTTGCCGTTTCCTTCTTGCCATTTGTTGGATATGAAATCATAAGCGTGTATGAATGTATGTGAGTGAGACAGAGGCTGTTTTGCAACACAATGGGTCAGTATAACTTGGGGAAGACGTCTCCACGGTCCTCTGCTTGCAGAATTTTTAAATAATTCGTTTTATGGGTTCCTCTCTAGTATCACACCGCGTTATAATTATTCCTATAACTTTATTTTATCCACGGTGTCGAGATGAACTAGCAGATAAAATGCAAAGTTGTAAAATAAATAATAGAAATAAAATGCAATTCCAACGCGGTCGCCTCTGCATCATGTTGTGAAGGTTTCATTTCAGGAGTATTTCACTGCATCAGGATTCGTTTGTAAAAGCTCTGGTGCTTTTATGCAAATGTGAGCAGCACAAGGACTAATTAACGAATGAGTGCTTTTCTGATAAAGTGTGTGTGTGTGTGTGTGTTTATCACCCACCAGAGATAAGTATGTTGTGAAGCACCTCACCGATCCTGAGCGTTGCCTGAAGGATTTACCTAATCACCATCTATCACACCTAAGCTCGGGGTAGGGGACCAATGAGAGATCACTGTTTATCTGCAAAAGCTCCTGTTTTTGTAAATGCTAATGATAAAGCCAAAGATAACGCAGGAGCAGATCTGTATCAGCACGACTCAAATGTTTGATTTTATCTGTGCCGGTGATCTTCGGTTTTGCAGCTTCTTCAAAGTTTCTCATCTACTTCAAAGTAAAAGCTTTATCCTCATGAAGTCATGTCTTCTTACATGTGAACAGGTTAGTGTCAACCTCCAGTCACCTCCTCTAACCTCCTCTAACCTCCA